CAGCCTGGACTTGTCAGACTTACAGAGCGACGGCCCGGAAGCTGCCAGAAGCATGTCATCGGAGGCTGACTCCATGGAAACCTGAAGAGCGCTTCTGGCCTCTCAACTGGGCACATACTTTCGAACATATAAGCAGTTTCTTTAATTGTAGTTCTTTTGAATAACTATCAAAGAAATCTCAACAGTGTTGCTTCTTCCATCTCTAGTTCATGGCAAGTCATGGTTTGCTAGTTCAAATGCTTAATTTGTGAAAAGCAATGAAACAACAACAATCATGATGTTATAAAACGTCACCAAGTTGAATTTAGTGATCCTTTAGATTTTTTTTTTAGTTTTGTTATAAAAATGACCATTACATGGTGTGTTACAAAATTGCTTAAACCATGCTATAGCACTTTTATAACTTCTTCAGGTTTGGTTGATTGTGGATTAATTTTATTCTTTGTTGTACTGTGTATATAGTAACATTGATAAAATGTCTGTTTTTTAGAGAAGTTGAAATAAAGCACTTTTTTATGTATGTTGTATGGCTTTTTCACTTACCTTCAGTCGTGCAGTTGAGAACTTTGGTCTGATCTTAGGAGGATATTAATTCTCAATTTCAAAGTCAAAAATAGTTAAATACATTACAGAAGTTAATGTCTTGGAAAATCCTTTTGGACCTTTGGTTCCAAAAGCATTTGTAGTGCTGAAAGTTTCAGATTTGTGTAACTAGCAATTTTTTTGTACTTAGTGTATTCTGGTAACCTGACGCAGTATATTATACAAATTTGTACTCTCCAGTCTATAATACATAGTATAAGATCTCAATTCAGCATGTTTCTGCAACTGGAGTATAGTTTTAAATGGATGGACAATCTCTTGTGTCCAAACTCTGAATAAAAACATTTTAATCTGTATTGAAATGTGCACCAAATGTATAGTATGTACCTCCTATGATATATTCAAATGTAGCCTTTTCAAAGTATAATGTGCCTAGAATGTGGGTGGTTTGGTGGCGCAGCGATTAGCGCTGCTGCCTCACAGCAAGAAGATCCTGGGTTTAGGCCCAGGTCCTTTCTGTGTGGAGCTCACATGCTCTCCCTGTGTTTGTGTGGGTTTCTGCTAGGGGCTCTGGTTTCCTCCAAAAGTGCACAGGGTGGGTTGATTGGTAAGTCTAAATTGCCCCTGTGGTGTGTTGGTAACTAGCCAGTGTTGGTTCCTACTTGTGCCCATTGTTCCTGGGTTAGGCTCCAATCCCCCCTGCAGCCCCAGTTGGGATTAAGCAGTGATGGATGGATGGATATGCCTGCAATATACTGTTAGAACTTTACTTTCTGTTGTGCTGTGATAAAGTGTGGAACCTCTTGTAGTATGAGATGTTTGTCAATGGTATGAACAAGTAGATTATCTTATTTTTCCAGTAGAGCATTCAGCTGGTTTGTCTAATTATAAATGGATTTTGTATCAAGTTATTTGACCACATTTTATATAAGGCAAAACAAAGTGTTAGGCCTAGTTTTTAGCTCCGGGTGAAGCAATATTAAATATGAATTATAATGCAATGAAAACAATAGTTACAATGAAAGACGAAGGTGTGAGACTATCAACATAGCAATAGAGCAGGTAATCATGTGTAGCTTTGAATCTTTGTGCAGAATATGGCTTCATTTTCTTCCAAAGTCCATTGTAGGCTTATAGCTTCTAGGGTTTTAGTTAAGCAATAACTGCAATTATCATAAAGCTGTTCTGGTTAAAGAAATGCTTAAACAATCATGAGAAAATATGTATGTGGGTAATAGTCAGAGTTGCAGGGAAAAAACGTGAACATCGGATGCCAAGGTTGTTAGGAAGGAATCATGAATTCAATGTTTGCATTAATTTATTTAATATTTGGAAGTCATCTTGCAGCTAAGCATTGTCATTCCGCTTTGGTGCTTATAAAATTACGTTTCTAGTTATGTGAATATGTGGTGATATAAGCGTCATACTTCCTGTTATTGCTTCGAATCTGAGACTTCCTGCTGGACTTTAAACAGAACCGACCTGAAGATCACATTAGCTGGAATGAGAGGGAGGATTTTTTTTTCATCCTTTTTTCTTTGACCAGAATCACATGCGTGGTTGTTAAAAAAAGCGAAAACATTTTTTGTTATGTCCCATTAAAGTTTTAGGAAGAATGGAAATCCAGCAGGAGGTAATGTGTGTCTCGGGGGAGGGTAAGGTTATGTGTAAATGCTGTGTATGTCATTTACATGCATGCATTTAGATCCTATTAGGGCTTATATACATGTGCACTTCTTTGGAGTTTGTATAATATATTCATATACTTAATGTAATTCAGAAAACACACATTTCCAGTTGAAAAATGTTGGACTAATACATTTTCTTAGTTTTGCATTCCTATGCCCTAAATATTAAAGTGTAAATGTGTTTTTTGCAAGAATTTGTATTGATTCTTTCTCAACCAAACTTCCCATTAACAGTATACAGGCCAAGAATGTTTGTGTCTCTTTACAAAACTGAATCAGTTTCAGGAATAATATGCGACACAGATGCAAAATACTTCAATAATGACATTAATTTTTAATTATTGCTAATGAAATTGTCGTACAGCATATGAGCGTTACTGTGAAATGTCTTTAATTTGCTACAGGCAGTGCATTGGTTCATTGTTAAATATGAAACTTGGGGTTGAAATATTTTGTAGCGCAAGAGATCCTGGGTTGAAGAAACCTTCTTTAAAAGAGACTGTGTCAGGTTTATGCCGGTGTCACAGCAACAGCACCGGTAAGGACAGGGGCGTCAGAAGCATTTTAAATGTGGGGGGACCCTCCCCCAGAAATGTTTTAATGAATTAGATGCCGTTTGTGTACTTTCATATCGATCAAGTGGAATGGATTCTTTCGTGAAGCAATAGAAACAGCGCTGGGTGAACTAATATTTTATGTTAAATGTGGGGGGGTCCAAACGAATAATTATGAAACGTGAGGGGGACACCCCCTCAGATTTAATGGCGGCGACGCCCATGGGTAAGGATGCATTTGGTAATATATTACAGCTCAAATCCATGGCTTTTTAACGTACCTAAAACCCCAAGATTACATGCACTGCAAGTCAGAAGGTTTTGTACACCACAGGTTTCCATTTGTTTCATAAACTCCAGATTTTTCATTCTTGTTATACATTGTAGAGTAGAGTGAACAACTATAAATGAAAATGTAAGTCAAATAAAACAAGTTTCCTTTATAGCATGGAAAGAGTATGTAACAGTGCATGTCTAACATCCTGTTAACAGCTTGTGTGGTGATGGCAGAGTCAAATTCTAGGTCTTTTAACTTTCATCCCATGAAATAGAGCAGTATTTAATTGTTAGCAAAGAATACTGAGTGTATTTTTAATAAATGTTAAGTGAGTAACATGCAAATGTGGAAAGTATTGATGGGAAGTAGTCAAGGAGAATGGTATGATTAATTACTGTACATTCACATTTACGATTGAATTCATTTGATGCCCTAATATGATGTAGATGGAGTGAATATTACTGAAAAAGAAAACCAAAAACATCATACATTTTATGTAGAAGTTTACATAAAGTGTAACTTTTGTTATGCTTTCCTTTTTCTCTCCTGTAATTAGTACATTGCTGCTTCCACGGAATACTTTTCTCATGGTAAACGAAAGATCCCAGTATTAAGAATAATTCCTTGCTTCTTCTAGGTGCTATCCAAAGTGTCAGATATGCCAAAGCCTGATCAGGTATGCAATTCCCCAGTACTGAGGATATCCTTGGTCATATTAATTCATGAGTGAGATATTTATAGTAATGTGAATTACAATACTTCTATACAGTAAATATCACTTCACTCAGAGCAGTGTGAGAAAGAAAAGCAGCATAGAAGATTTTGTTGTACATCTATATACTGTGTCCATTTGCATATTTTGTAATTCTTATATATTCTTAAAGGTTTATGACCTTACATTCAGCCATGACTGTAAACATGACAAGTTGCTTGTGTAAATTCTTCATAGCTCAATATCACAGTAACCTTCACTGACAGTGCCTGTCAAAGGCTATAAAGCAAGAACAAATGTAACTGATATTCCTAAAAGCAACTGCTGTTAATTTTCTTATCATTACTGAGAAGGGCTGTTCTTTTAGGTGCTGCTGTGGGCGGCTTGTTGGGGAGCACCAGAGGCTGGACCTAAGTGCATCGGCACAAACCCCAGTTAGAGTTGGGAAGCATGTAGGTTTGAGTGTGATCCCCAGTGAACAGCCGTCAGTCAGGACCAAGGGCTCAGAGCAGTGGTCCGTTGAGTTGTACACCCAGGCCAGCCCCACCGATGCCTTTGGGACAATTGAATTCCAGGACTGCACCCACTCGGGTCGTGCCAAGGTCAGTGGGGAAGTCAAGCAGGGTAGGGGGGACAGGGGACAACACTTTAGAGTTCTGACCAGAAGTCAAAATCTGGACGTATAGCACCAGCCCAAAGTATAGGCTCACCTAATGAAATTTATTTGTTTTCAAAAAGATAACGACCCTAAGCATACCTTAAAGTTATGTAGTAAGTACTATCTTGTGAACTAGGTAAGAGATGGAGCGCTGTGACAGGTTACCGGCCCCCACAATCCCCCGACCTAAACCCTATAGAGCTGCTTCGGGATGAGTTGGAATGAAGAGTAAGTGCAAGGCAGCCATCTTGTGCCCACAAGTTGTGGAGACTCCTTCAGGACTGTCGGAGAAGCGTCCCAGGTGGTTACTATGAAAGCTGGTTGATAGAATGGCAAGAGTTTGCTGTCATCAAAGCAAAAGGGGGCTATTATGAGATGAATATCACAGCAAAAACAGAGACAAATGCATTAAAAGCAGGTGCATCCAGACTTTTAACTGATACTGTGGAACAAGAATTGTTCTTAAAAAAAGACTAGAAATAGTCTTGACTGATTTAAATCATAATCAATAATCAGTGAGGGAAAAGTAATATTGTCAAAGGTATGAAAAAGCTGCAGAGATTACCAATTAATTTTGTTTTAAATCAATACCAATTGTTTATTATTTTGTCAATGTGTTACTCAGATAAATTAAAGGAAATAAGCAAATTCTATTCACTCTGTCTCCTATTGTCCATGCTATTCATTAGTATGTTCGGCTGTCCTGCGATGCCAAACCAGAGCAGCTGCTTCAGCTAATGTTGATCGAGTGGCAGATGGAAATGCCAAAACTGGTCATTTCTGTTCACGGAGGTATGGAGAACTTCGACCTTCCCATGAAGGTGAAGCACACGTTTGGCAAGGGTCTGATCAAGGCTGCAGAGTCAACAGGAGCGTGGATCTTGACGGATGGGATGAACAGAGGTTTGTGCGCCAGCGTGTATTTGTGTGAAGACACGCAAATCGACAGACCTACACGTCTTCTCGCAGCTGTTAAATTTTTGATATGAATCTGTGTGGATTTTTCCATCTGTTGCTGGGTACCCTGATTGATAAAGGATGACTTCAACATTGACAACAATGCGTTGCACTTGTTTCCGCTCTTCCAGGTGTATCAAGGCACTTGGGCGATGCCGCTAAGTTGTACGGCACCCGTGATTTCCGTAGAAGACACATCATTGGAATTGTTCCCTGGGGGATAATTGAGAACCACAGTGAATTGATTGGGAGAGATGTAAATGCTTTTTAAATTATTCCTATAGTGAAGATGAACTCAACTGTGTATATTAACATGCATAAAACAATCTAATTTCTCATGGATGATAGCAATAACCTATATAAAACAATCCATCCTCACGGTTTAAGGAGGTACTATGGATGTTTGAGCATTACAGAGGTCAGCACATGCTGTTTAATTCCTGGTTGTCCTCCGCTGTGCTTGAGCTGTGGTTCCCCGACCCAGGTTGTCCGACCCTACCAGACTCTGGGGAACCCTCTGAGTAAGAGGATGTCTTTGAACAGTCAGCACTCCCACTTTCTGCTGGTTGACGATGGCACTGTGGGAATGCACGGCTGCCAGCTGGAAATCCGGAGAAAAGTGGAGGGTCACATGCGACTGCAAAGGATTCATGGCAGTGAGTAGGGGTGTGTGAATAGTGCTTCTCCTTTGTGGTCCTGGAGGGCTACAGTGTGTGTCCAAGTACTTATGCCCCTCGGTTGAACAAATTACGATAACGAAAAAATTATGATGAAAATACTATTAGCGGTTTAAAAGATGGTGAACTGCCTGTACTCCTTCCAGGTGGTACAGAGTGCCCATGAAATGCTGTTTTTTCATTATTGAATGAACGTGAGTCTATTTAAGTGTGTTTGTATAGATAGATAGATCGACAGACAGACAGACAGATAGATAGATAGATAGATAGATAGATAGATACTTTATTGATCTCAAAGGAAATTTATGCACCCAGTAGCTCAAACACAGAAATACACACAATAATATAATAAGAATGTGAAGATGTGTGTCTCTCCCACCTTTTCCTAGGACTCGAGCAGAGAATGCCTGTCCTGTGCGTGATTATGGATGGCGGCCCTGACCTCATCTCCCTGGTGCTGGATTATGTGAAGAGTGTCCCGCCAATACCAACTATCGTATATGAGGGAACAGGGAGGGCAGCAGATCTGATTGCGTTCGTACACAAACAGACCTCGGTTGACAGGTGAGAAGCTTGTCCGTAACAGCGAGTCAATGGTTCTTTACCCAAAACGATATGTTGTATTCTGTCTGTCTCTTTTTAGAAAACTTGATCCAGATATCAAAGAAGACCTTCTGCTCAGGATTCAGAAGGGTTTCAACTTTGGAAAGGCACAAGCCAGTAATATTTTTAAACTTTTGATGGAATGCATAGACTTCAGAGATTCAGTAAGTACATGAAGACCTGGAACACAGTCTATGTCAGTCGTTATGTATTTGTCTCATTGAAATGACCGCAATTGTTTTATATTTGTAATATATTTTACATAGACCTGTGTCCCTTAGTTTTTTTGTCCTCAGACTTCAGTTTTAAGGGTTTAAGCAAAGCCCTTTTGTACTATGCGTTAATAAATCAATTCTGTTCATTTTCACACAGGCACACAATGGATAGTCTCTCATTTAACTGTGTCGAATTTCAGATGAACGAGGTTTTTACTGGCTGCTTTAATGCTTGCTTAGATTCTCTCTCTCTCTCTCTCTCTCTCTCTCTCTTTCCATCTTTCCCCCGTCTCGCTCTGCCTCACTTATACTGTTGGCTGAAAATAATCATTGTTTTGTGCGCCAACCTGCCCAGTGCGGATAGAGAGCGCCTCGGCACCCCGAGCCTTTCAAACGCAGCAGCGCTCTGAGACCGGGGCGGGGGGGGGGGGGGGGGGGGGGCGCAGCTCCGCTTAGATCTCAATCAAACAGAATCGTATAGTTTGCAGTCAGCCGCAAATCAAAAGCTTTTGGATTTCTAAATTGAGCGTTAACAGAATAATTGGAATAATAAGCATGGAGCATACTTACATATTTATAAAACTGAGGATATTAATTTGTTCCCCGGACACAGCCGGCGCGGAACAATTGGATATATATCACTCAAAGGATTGAATTCGTATTTGAGACTTATGAACCGTGTTCGTATTTCGTCCCTCCATACCTTGACGTAGCGATTAGGGCTTTTATGTAAAAGACCTATTACACTAGAGAAAAGAGATCGTATTTGATGATAGGAGAGAAACTTAATGCCAATTAAAGGCAGTGTCAGTCAATTTAAATAATAATTATTTTTTTTGTTTGTGCACACATTAGCATTTATTTAATATTTGAAAAATTACAAATGCTTATTCATGAAGTGTATCGGGAAATTAATTAATCAAATACAGCTAATTAATACAACTAATTAAACACAATAACATGAAAAATGTGGTCTACAAGTTTTTTTTTTCTGATGTTCTTTTGGAATGAATCGCACCATGGGCTAGGTCTCCCCTAATGTTGATATTGATCACTTAAGTTTTATTTACTTATTTTTCGTTTAAATTATAGATAACAATAATTGATTCAGAATCTGAGGACCAGCAAGACTTGGATACATCTGTTCTAACAGCATTACTTAAAGGTAAAAAAAATATATATAAAATTTAAAACGCTGATATTATAACCTGAAAATATAAGTTCAGTGGTCATTCATCCAAACAGTGAATCATGTGACTGCAACTCGATACATACAGCATGCGAATAGGCTCAAGAGGTTCACGTATACAGTGCAGCTAGCTCAGCATTAGCATAGCTGAAATGCAGGATGTCGCTGCCAGATGTAGCGGTTTCAGCATTTCAGCAACAGCTACCTTCTGGGGACAGTGTCAAGAGTTTACAGAAAACATGAAAGAAAATCCTCTCAGTCATGAACACCTTGTTAAAGTGTGAGGTCAGAGGAGCATAGCCAGACTTGTTAAGACTATGAGGAAGGTTACAAACAGTAACCTTCAATAAAATTAATATAATACAGTAAGCAAAAATAACAGTAAAGATACACAATTTACCAAGTGATCTTCTGGAGAAAATAGTTCATAAAAGGTTGCACCTTGGGGTAGCTAAGAGAGTGCCCTCTGAGCATGTGTCGTTTTATGTAGCCTGGGTGACAGTGGCGCAGTGGTTAGCATGGTCAGCTGACACCTCTGCAGGTCAGGGTTGGGTTGCTCAGCCTGCTTCTGTGTGCAGTGGGCTTTCCTTAAACATGCAAAGGTGAACTGGAGTCGCCAAATTGCGTATGATGGTTTGGCGCCTGCCTTGTGCCCATTGTCTCTGGAATAGGCTCCAGACCCCATAACCCTTTATAGAACAAGTAACATAGAAGATGAATGAATGTCCTGCGTGGATGTTTTTATAAAGCTGTTATCTTTGTTATCTATACCAAATGCTTCACTGTGAAATATTGCCTCACTCTGGCTATAAACAATGAATCACTTGAATAACATTGAGGTTTATTGCACGTTTTGTTGCTTTGCTGCTGATGGATTTATGCTGGCCAAACATCTTGTGCAGGCACCAAAGCCACTGCCCCCTATCAGCTAGGCCTGACATTGGCATGGAACAGAGCAGACATTGCAAAGAAACACATCCTGGTCTACGGGCAGCATTGGAAGGTACTGTGCTGTATTACACCCTAGAGACTGTAAAGCAAAAGTATACTGCTTACATATCTGAAGTTGGGTGATGATTGAGGTAGGCACTAAGCTTACCTTTCTGAAGCTGAGCGATGTTTGAGGTAGATACTATGTTTCTGAAGCTGAGTGATGTTTGAGGTAAGCACTAAGCTTACATTTCTGAAGCTGAGTGATGTTTGAGTTAGGCACAGTGCTTCTGTCTGGAGATTGATGATCTACCCGTCATCTTTGTGCCAAAGGTAGGTTCCCTGGAACAGGCCCTACTTGACGCCCTGGTGATGGACCGCGTCAGCTTCGTGAAGCTGTTGATTGAGAATGGAATGAACATGAATCGCGTCCTCACCATGTCTCGACTGGAACAGCTCTACAACGCGGTAAACCCTAGGAACAGCACAGACACATGTGCAATATACAAATGGTCCCGTTTTCACACATGGTCATAATGCAGAAGAAGCATAGCAGAATTGTCTTTATAGCCTTTGACTACAGACTCCTGTAAATTTGTGGGATATTCCAATTTCCCCCCCCAGAAAATCATTTATACTGTTTCATTAACAACAATCTTATCTAAATGGGCTGTCTAGTGTACAATTAGTTTTGACAAAGTGCTTAAGTCTTACTATAACATGATAATTTAATAATTGTGCCTTATTTTTCAACATAAAGCTTTGGTTAAGAAAAGTATCTTTTACAATTCTACAACTTCCAGATATAAAGAATAGAAATAATGTAATATGATGTCTGAACCTATGCAGTATATTAATCTTTGTTTCTGATATCTCGTGGCAAATGAATGTAAATCAGACAGCGACATTTCAATAGAACCAAAAAATATACCGATATTTTCTCCTTCTCAGAAAGCATTTAAAGTGTTGTGCCTTTCAGTACCCATGAAGAGGATTATTTGGGAACATTTTTGAAAGTAATGGATGCCTCAAATAATTGTTTCATATGTTTCAGTATAGAGCAGTTATTTATTTAATATTTATTCTCAAAATATAAATCTCTTAAAGCATCTGTTATATTACAGGCGCTTCCTCTTCCTTGGAATTTTTATTGATGTTTTATGTATTAATGACTAGCAGATTTCTTTTTGAAGAAGTTTCACAAAGTGCATTTTTATGGGGCCACACAATTCTTTTCTTCACCCAAAAAAAGCCAGGCTGTCCTTTATTCTGTTGCAGGACAATGAATAATTAATATTTCTTAAAAAAGCAAAAAATATATAATTCCCACTCCTGCTTTATTTTTACCTAATGATGCAACTCAGAGTGGAAGTTACCCAGGCACTGCAGGAATGGTATAGTTTTAACATTTTATTTTTATATCCTGCATTAGATGTTGTTTTTTATTCACAAAAAAATCACTCTTGCATCTCAGTGACCAAATAATTCAGAAAATATTAAATCCCAAATGATTTTACAAATGCATAGTTTCTAAATATTTAAAGCTATTTTGTTTATCTGTTTGTAGCAAATTATTTAATATTTATACTTGCATTCATATTTTAGTTGTGTTTTTACCAATTTACTTTTATCATTCTTTTATTTCTTCAGCAAGAACCAACAAACAATTTTCTGTATCATCTTGTGGAAAATGTGAAACAGGTGGGAAATTTTAAAAATAAAGAGCCAGTTTTTTTTGTCAAGTGTATGTGCATCAGCCGTCTAGGTGACAATACAATCAATACATAAAATAGTACCATTCATTCAAACCTAGAAGAAGAAAAACCTTGAACGCATATCCCAGACTTTCAGTCATTTTGTTACATTCATTTGTCGCGGTCTCCAGAGCCACCTCCCCGTGGGATACCGGATCTCGCTGATCGACGTTGGTCTGGTGATTGAATATCTGCTAGGAAGTGCATACAGCAGCACCTACACGCACAAGCGTTTCCGTGCTGTCTACAACAATATCTCCGGAAAGAGGAAGGTACATCATCCTTTTCAGTCTCACTCAATGCATCTGTCATTCTAAATAAATTCCAGAAACAGAAACTCTAATTAACAGCTTAATTTAGAGCTATTCAGAATCCTGCTTCTGGTTCTTAGTTGCTTTTTTTTTGTTTCGTTTTTGTTGTTTCTGTTGTTTTAACTAAACGATGTGCGCTCGTCTGTTTAAGTAGTTTGCAAAACTTGCGTAGATCAGGCCTTAATATGCCTGTTCCACAAAGCAAATAAAGAAATGTACTGTGTAACCTAGAACATTGCATGGTTTCTATTAATTCATTCTTATCTTGTTTTATTTTGTTTTTGAAGGAGAACAGCAAGGAGAGCTTGAGTCAATTTAACAGGCTGGGCAAAGTGCCCAGAATGCAGCCACAAAAGGAGGACAATGCGCGGTTCTGCCCTCCTTTCTGCAGGACTGCCCAGCCATACGGACACAAGGTCATTAAAACCATGTTCCGCCATGTATTTTAAGCAGACAAAAAACAGAAGCGAAAGATGGCAATGGCTAAATGCGTGTTTTTGCTTCCACAGGAATGTGCCGATCTTCCCCCGGGACTGAGAACAGATAATAAAGCCGAGCAGAGCGACAACTCACCGTTTGTATACAGCTTCAGCGACCTGTTTGCGTGGGCGGTACTCATGAGGCGCCAGGAGATGGCGCTGTTTCTGTGGCAGCACGGCGAGGAGGTCATGGCCAAGGCAGTGGTGGCCTGCAAACTGTATCGCTCTATGGCACATGAAGCCAGGGTGATGAACACGGGGGACAACACTGAAGAGGAGCTGAAGAATTACTCCCTGTCAGTACCATCCGTAGATGGAGCCACAATGATCATGGACAATTGTCTTTGCATAACAGAAGCCAATGTCCTCACCATTTTGCTTTTACTTAGCTACTGCTAATATCAGTCAAGTATTAAAAAAAAACATTTTTGTTTGATTTACAGAGAGTTTGGTCAATTAGCTGTGGACCTTCTGGACACTGCCTTTAAACAGAATGAGAGGATGGCAATGAAACTGCTGACCTATGAGATGAAGGACTTCAGTAACTTCACCTGCCTGCAGATGGCAGCGTCGTCTGGATTGCAGTCCTTTGTCTCACACAGCTGCACCCAGATGTTACTGACAGACCTGTGGATGGGCCGCCTCAACATGAGGAAAAACTCCTGGTTTAAGGTAAACAGGCCCTTGAATGAATACTGGTTTGTCTGTCCTTCTTGGTCATAAATTTTTTAACTTGAAATGTTATGGTGATTGCTGCTTTAATGGATTCAAAATACGACTCTATCAATGTGTATCAGATTACACTGAGCATCCTGTTGCCCCCGGCCATCTTGATGCTGGAGTTCAAGAGCCAGGCTGAGATGTCACATGTCCCACAGACTTATGACCATCCTCAGCCGTGCCGAGAGACTGGGACTCAAGGAATTGGAGATACTGGGCATGTAGGCATGGTAAACACACATCTGGGTCTTTTGGGGTTCTTTGCTGTATATCGAGTATTTTACTAAATCTGCATGGGGGGTGGGAGTGGGGGGGGGGGTTATGAATATGTCCGTGAATAAAAGGAATCATGGAACAACATAAAAGTGAGGCATGCAGCACATTACAAACATACATGCTGTCAAGGAATCAACCAGGCAGGTGCTGCAGCTAGTGCTGTTCATTCCACCGTCAGGGGAACCACATGTCAAACCTCTAGACTCTAGAGTGAGACATCCCATGGGGGGAGGGATCTCCAGGAAGAGTTGGTTTGCTGGCCAAAGAGTGTGAGACAGGATGCAGGTCTTGAGGTGCATCTTGATGCACATGAGTGCCTGTCCATTGATGGTTCTGAAAGCCAGTGCCAAAGACTTAAACTAGATGTGAGCACCTTAAAGGAGACACTGTTGACAGACAAGGCGGCGTGTGACACGAAAGCAGTCCGACTGACTGAATACCATCTTGAATCTTCTGCAAGTTGTTAGCTCTCAGTACAAGTTGCAGTAGTCTGAGAGATGATACAGTCAATAAACATTTCAGGAAGTTCTGTGGCTTGGTAGCTCAGTGAATAGCTCATACCTTCTGGGTTTGGGGTTTAAGTACTGTGTGGAGCTTGCATGTTCTCCCCATGTGATTCCTCATTTAGTCAGAGTTCCTCCTGCAGTCTAAAAAGCATTGGTGTAATTAAATTGTCTATTGTGTATAAGTGTGTCCTGCAATGGACTGGCATCCCATTCAGGGTGTTCTATTACTAATGTTCCATTAGGCCTGTTTTTATTCAATTGGTATTATTTCTGATCCCTGAAGAGACACTATGATGCAGAGAAAGGATCTGAATGTCCGACACACCTCACACCACAGGAGATACATTGGACAAGAAAGGTCTTTGAGTTTTACAATGCCCCGGTCGTTAAATTCTGGTTTCATACGGTATGTATTCTACCTATTTACTATTTCTTGCTCACAAGATAATCAACCCATGCTGCTGCATTCAGGTTCATTTTCATACAGCCTTCTCTCCCACCATGTTGCAGATAGCTTACTTAGTCTTTCTCATGCTGTATTCCTACACTGTGCTGGTGAAAATGGAGCCTGAACCCACTGTCCAAGAATGGATAGTAATCATTTGCATCTTTGCCACTGCCATTGAAAAAATAAGAGAGGTGAGGAAGCATCTGGGAATGTAAGTTGATTAATTAGCCAAGGCGTATGGGGTTGCCTTCATTGACGAGCAAATGTACGTGATAAAGTGGCCTTTGGGTGTGTTTGTTATCTTATCTCAGTGTGTTCAATTCAAAGGTCAGAAAACTCTTTGACCCTACAGTTAAAGAATGTAAGCTTATCTCATAAAAATTAAATGTTTCGACTGAACTTCCTTTTTCATTTGAAACTTTGAATTTATAGGGAACATTTACTAAGTGCTTTCTTGAAGCTGACCATGTAGTATTTAGATTTCTCTCTCGTTACAAATGGGTGAATGGCTTACAAAATCGAAAACATATTGTAGCAGCAGGTCTGTAGTGATTTGCATTTTTGTTATTTGTCTTCAAGGTCTTCATATCTGAGCCAAGGAAGTTGAGCAAGAAGCTTGAAGTGTGGTGTAGTGAGTACTGGAACATCTCAGATTTCACCGCTGTCATCTTGTTTTTCATTGGGTTCGGATTGCGATGGCATGACCCTCCCTTGAGAACAGCAGGCCGTATTGCTTACTGCTTGGACATCATCTTCTGGTATCTCAGACTTTTGGACCTATTTACAGTCCACCAACATGTAGGACCATATGTAACAATGATCATAAAGATGGTACGTGACAGAGCTCAAGATGTGGGCCTCACCGATGGTTTTCAAAGACAGACTGATGATGTTTTTTTCAATTATGTGATTCTCCTTTTTGTCCATGTAGACGACCGACATGTTGTACATCGTGGTAATGATGGCTGTCGTGCTAGTCACCTTTGGGGTCTCCAGAAAAGCCATCCTGTCTCCAAATGAAACTCCATCCTGGACTCTGGCCAAAGATGTGGTTTTCCAACCATACTGGATGATGTTTGGGGAAGTGTACGCTGGGGAGATTGATGGTTGGTCATGGGTTGCTTGACTTTAAAATGCTTCAGAAGTCTAGTAGCTTATATAACGCAGTTCTGTAACCCCGTCTTCTTCTTGTATTAAACAGCATGTGCGGAAAACAAGCCGTGTGCCCCCGGTTCTTTCATAACTCCATTTTTGCAAGCAGTGTACCTTTTTGTTCAGTATATCATCATGGTCAATACCCTGATAGCATTATTCAAGTATGTACATATATTTTTTTTGCTTCTCTTGGCAAAGTTCTAATTACCTTTGCATGCATTAACACTTTGCTGTTGTCTTTTTGCTTATTCCCTTGTCATTACAGCAACGTGTACCTGAATATGAAAAGTATATCGGACAAAATCTGGAAATACAACCGCTATCGTTACATCCTGACCTATCAGGAGAAGCCCTGGCTGCCCCCACCCTTCATTATGTTGAGTCACATAAGCATGTGCATCTGCTCGATTTACAGGAATCGGACCAGGAGATCCCAGCAAGAAAATCAGTGTGGCCTAAGTATGATCATGCTATAAAAATTACATTAAGTGCTACACTAAGACTAGACCTTTTCTGACAACCTTAAAATTCAGAATATAGCACAACGTTTCTTAGTTCATTATTATGAACATTCGTTATTCTTAGCAATGTATTGAGTAGGGGATAAAACACTATGAGATGTGCGCTTGTATGAAAATAATCAACAGCACCTTGGTGCATTGTGGCCCAACTCCTAGTTGGAGTTGATTATTTTTGTGTATCTGCACACCTCAAACTATTTCAGTAGCATTTAATAATGTTCCAATGCGCTCTTAAAAATACGGTGCCCATAAGGGCACAACGTCTGGTCAGGCTGCTCACTAGAAGCTGCAAGTCCGTTAAGTTACCATAGAAATCGTCAACAGACAGGGGGTGTTTCTTAATATGTATACTTGACTGTACTTGTGTTCTTGTGTACCTGTTTTATGTCATCATCCATTGGTGAAAACCAGCTCCAGTATTCAAGATCACAAGTACAGAGGATGGAAAAAATGCCTAGATGTCGTTCTTGCCCCTCCCCAAATGTCAAGGATATGTCGATTGCGTTCTCGCCAAACGAGACCAATCCCATGATTCATTGCACCCCAAGTTCATTCTTGGGAGGCAAATTAGCTAGACCAGTCTTACCAAGGCCACAAATATGACTGTTGCGTTCTTGGTGTTGAGAAACAATCAGGTGCTTAGGTTTGAAAACCAAGGAAATGTTGATATAAATGACTTCTTTTTAATGAGTAAAAAGGTTTTTAATTAAACATTAACAGATGAATATAGAACTGTTATTAGGCTGCCAGAACTACCTGTACGGTAACACAAAAATAATCAACGCCCGTATGATAGCTCTGGACTAAAAAAATTTTTTTTTTAATTGCAAAAGCAGGTTAGTGTGGGCAGGTTATAGGTTACGATCTCAGTAAAAGAACCAAAAAAAAAAATTATGGAATTATGAACAAATGTATTTTTTGTACAGAGCTTTACTTGAATCCAGAGGACCTAAAGAAGCTCCATGACTTTGAGGAGAATTGTGTTGCTGGGTATTTTCACAAGAAGAATGAACTTCTAGATTGCAGTGTAACTAACAGGATCAAAACTACATCAGAGAAGTAGGATTCCAAATGTCACAGTACTCTGTATGAATTCTAAAGAAGTCGTTTTATGAGGTTAGTGAGAAGATTCATAATTTCCCGTTGCTCTGCACATCCTGTTTTCAGGGTTGAGGAGATGACTGGAGAACTGCAAGAGGTAGCTGAAAAGGTCCACTTTATCAGAGACACCCTGCAGGCCTTGGATACTCAGCTTGGTCGACTGCAGGACTTGTCAGCCCTTGCAGTGGACACCTTGTCTGTCATCTCAGCGAAGGACACACGGCAGGTGAAGCAAGCCCTGATAGGTCAGAGGTGGCCTGTGGGGAACATCTGCCAGAAGCTTCCACACAGCTGGAGCCACCTTCATTTGGCAGCCAGCATGGATGACTTCTACCCCAAGCTGCAGAAGCAGTATCGCAGCACCCCGCCTTCGCTGTTACGCTGCCTTGTCCGCAGTCGCAGGCCATCTCTGGACCGGAAGGACTGGAACCCTGTGGTTT